AAWWTTKTRMACAAAGATGCGCCTATAGCATGTCAAACCTAACKTAGTCGTAGCCGTGTACCACATTTGTATWTATGACCAGTTTATGATGAATATGACTTTGGGTCTAKCTAACAACAGATTTTTTTGAGTAACTCACTTGTTGTACTGTAGAGGTTTAGTGAAATGTTCCCCRTACACCCARGCTATYCTACTTTTATGTTTTGGCCAGATRTCTTTACTGAGCCATAATTCTCCTTCATTATCACTWGCTGAAACATTGGAAAGAMACATTGAKTACATTTTATCTTAATTAAGRTGTTTTTCTTGCCTGGTTTGKCAGGGATKTTCAYAGTCTYTCTTCTCAAAAATGGAGGAAACGAGGGCAGAGAAAAAAGGAAATGTCCAATACTCCATTTTATASTTCCAARCTCCATCTTCAAAGATGGCCGAGCSTTTGTAKCAAAGCGAGACAGGAGTTGAGGGTGAATAATCTGCCGTTTTCATTGGCAAATTATTACAATGTGTTRAAAGCTTTAAACTTAGTGTTTGCACTATAGAAATAAAAGTAATAAATAATACAAAACTAATGCGACACTGTCTTTGTTGATCTAATGTAGAAATACTAAAAATGTATATTTTTACTTACAAATATAGAACGTGTGACGTCCAGAGATCTTTGGTACAAAGTACGTTCGTATTCTGGTTCCATAGTTCTCCCCCCAGTTCGTTGGCTGTGTGAACTCCGTGCTGTAAGTACTTTGAGTTGGCATGTTTGGAAAACGACTATTTTTTGTAAGACTTGATACCGTAAAAGAGTCTATGCCTTCCCATTTCTCTATAAATACACCAGGTCTTCTTTTGAATTCCTTTGCTGTTTCACGGGAACGTTTTAAAAGGGTTGTAAAAATAAAACAAGTAAATGAAAAAAATATGAAATGGAAAAAATATGAAATGGAAAAAATATGAAATGGAAAAAATATGAAATGGAAAAAATATGAAATGGAAAAAATATGGGAATAGAGGGGCAAAAGATCTATAATCTATAAAATGGAAGATTAAAATGAAAGAGCATTAAATGAAAAACAATTTTACATACTAATAAAACATAGAAACATTTAGAAACAATCATAATATCAACGAGTAACTATCTAGACCACCGGATAAACCATTATCAACAAGTAAGCACTGGATTTCCGCTTATACCATGACAAACCAGTAAATTCTCGACCATAAGTGAACACCTAATCTAACCTTAATCTGACGCTATATTACCCAACCCTCAATTGAACCAAACAACAATTGATCACATTAAAGTACCAAAACATAAGAACATTTCAAAAGAACACTTGTCTCTTGACACTTCTCTACAGTGTCTTGGTTTTTAAGTACGGTGTTGATAGAAATAAAGAAATTGTTATTAAACTAAATGTATTTTAATTTTTGTTAAGCTAAGAGTGATCAAGTTTCCAATAAATATATGTAGACGTCTTCTACATCTTAAAGGATAATTATGAAAATTTGAAATATATAAACGGCAATCTAATCAAATAAACAGTGCACACGATTGTTTTGTTCAAGTTTTAAACCGATTTTTGTACTTTAATAGCAGTAATACTTAAAGTAAAATGCTTGGAAAATGGGTTAATAAATCACTTGATGTTTTCAAAACATATATCGCTCTTACAGACAAAACATTTTAAATTTAGACATACTTACAGGTTGAGAAGGGAGGAGGAAGCTCAGCTAAAAACTCTTGATTTGTAGTACTTRTAAAACYGATTAAAACTAAGAAGACACTCCARAAATATGATACCATGATATTTTAAGATGATTTATAGCGCTGAAAGTGCACTGACTCGACTTTTATGTTTTACAGGTGGCAAAGACTARTCWAACACTACGAACAATAGACGAACCTACACGTTGATCTTCCCGCTGCATAAACTTAAAAATTCAACTTAAAAATCAAAGAAACCAATATATTCTAGTGAATATGACCTTTGACGTGTTACGAATATTTACAACAATGATATTGCAGTCAAAATATTGGAAAAATCCAAGTAATACTTATTATAATTAAGAATATTCTAGGTACTATACCATCGGCTCGACGTTATAAGCATTTATATGATTATCTGACTTATTTGTCATATAAATAAAGTATTCTATTCAGTCGTCTAATCCAATTCTTATCTACCTTGTTTCAATATGACGTCACAACAATGTAATCGACCATTTTTGGCCATTTTGGTGGGCTATAGCCCATGCATTTTGATCGAAAATGGACCATTTTTGGCCATTTTGGTGGGCTATAGCCCATGCATTTTGATCGAAAATGGACCATTTTTGGCCATTTTGGTGGGCTATAGCCTATGCAATTTGATCGAAAATCGACCATTTTTGACCATTTTGGTGGGCTATAGTCCATGCATTTTGATCAAAAATCGATCATTTTT